TTGGCAAAGAAGAAGTCAAACTCTCACTCTTTGCAGATGATATGATACTTTCTGTGGAAAACCCAAAAGACTCCACCCCAAAACTGCTAGAACTCATACAGGAATTCAGTAAAGTGGCAGGATATAAAATCAATGCACAGAAGTCAGTGGCATTCCTATACACCAACAACAAGACAGAAGAAAGAGAAATTAAGGAGTCGATCCCATTTACAATTGCACCCAAAACCATAAGATACCTAGGAATAAATCTAACCAAAGAGACAAAGGATCTGTACTCAGAAAACTATAAAATACTCATGAAAATAATTGAGGAAGACACAAAGAAATGGAAAAACGTTCCATGCTCATGGATTGGAAGAACAAATATTGTGAAGATGTCAATGCTACCTAGAGCAATCTACACATTCAATGCAATCCCCATCAAAATACCATCCACTTTTTTCAAAGAAATGGAACAAATAATCCTAAAATTTGTATGGAACCAGAAAAGACCCCGCATAGCCAGAGGAATATTGAAAAAGAAAAGCAAAGCCGGCGGCATCACAATTCCGGACTTCAAGCTCTATTACAAAGCTGTCATCATCAAGACAGCATGGTACTGGCACAAAAACAGACACATAGATCAATGGAACAGAATAGAGAGCCCAGAAATGGACCCTCAACTCTATGGTCAACTAATCTTCGACAAAACAGGAAAGAATGTCCAATGGAACAAAGACAGTCTCTTCAACAAATGCTGTTGGGAAAATTGGATAGCCACATGCAGAAGATTGAAACTGGACCATTTCCTTACACCACACACAAAAATAGACTCCAAATGGTTCAAAGACCTCAATGTGAGACAGGAGTCCATCAAAATCCTAAAGGAGAACACAGGCAGCAACTTCTTTGACCTCAGCCGAAGCAACTTCTTCCTAGAAACATCGCCAAAGGCAAGGGAAGCAAGGGCAAAAATGAACTATTGGGACTTCATCAAGATAAAAAGCTTTTGCAAAGCAAAGGAAACAGTCAACAAAACCAAAAGACAACCGACAGAATGGGAGAAGATATTTGCAAATGACATATCAGATAAAGGGCTAGTATCCAAAATCTATAAAGAACTCATCAAACTCAACACCCAAAGAACAAAGAATCCAATCAAGAAATGGGCAGAAGACATGAACAGACATTTTTCCAAAGAAGACATCCAAATGGCCAACAGACACATGAAAAAGTGCTCAATATCGCTCAGCATCAGGGAAATCCAAATCAAAACCTCAATGAGATACCACCTCACACCAGTCAGAATGGCTAAAATCAACAAGTCAGGAAACGACAGATGTTGGCGGGGATGCGGAGAAAGGGGAACCCTCCTACACTGTTGGTGGGAATGCAAGCTGGTGCAGCCACTCTGGAAAACTGTATGGAGGTTCCTCAAAAAGTTGAAAATAGAGCTACCATATGATCCAGCAATTGCACTACTGGGTATTTACCCCAAAGATACAAAAGTAGGGATCCGAAGGGGTACGTGCACCCCGATGTTTATAGCAGCAATGTCCACAATAGCCAAACTGTGGAAAGAGCCAAGATGTCCATCGACAGATGAATGGATAAAGAAGATGTGGTATATATATACAATGGAATATTATGCAGCCATCAAAAGGAATGAGATCTTGCCATTTGCAACGACGTGGATGGAACTGGAGGGTATTATGTTGAGTGAAATAAGTCAAAAAGAGAAAGACATGTATCATATGATCTCACTGATATGAGGAATTCTTAATCGCAGGAATCAAACTGAGTGTTGTTGGAGTGGGGGGTGGGGTGGGAGGGATGGGGTGACTTGGTGATAGACACTGGGGAGGGTATGTGCTCTGGTAAGCGCTGTGAATTGTGCAAGACTGTTGAATCTCAGATCTGTACCTCTGAAACAAATAATGCAATATATGTTAAGAAAAAAAAAAAAAAGAAGAAGAAGAAGAGGGTAGCGGGAGGGGAAGAGTGAAGCGGGGGAAATCGGAGGGGTAGACGAACCATGAGAGACGGTGGACTCTGAAAAACAAACGGGGTTCTAGAGGGGAGGGGGGTGGGAGGATGGGTTAGCCTGGTGGTGGGTATTGAGGAGGGCACATTCTGCATGGAGCACTGGGTGTTGTGCACAAACAATGAATCATGGAACACTTCATCTAAAACTAATGATGTAATGTATGGGGATTAACATAAGAATTAAAAAATAAAAAATAAAAAATAAAAGAAAAAAAAAATTTGTTTCCCAAGATCCTAGCAACATCCTGGACTTACATGTAAATACTACGTGCTTATTTAATGAGTAAATGAATGAATGAAAGGCAAATAAATATATATGGCTGAAATATCACTGTAGCTACAATAAATGTTACTGTGTGAATTCATAATGGAAGAGAGATGGGAAGAATAAATATTTTACTAATTGAAAAAAATCATGAGCTCTGTTTAATGAAAGGAGACTCCACGGCTTATAGCACCTAAGGGCATAGTTGAGAGGTGTGTGGTGTGGGGCCGGTTGGGCTCAAAACAAAGTGAAGTTTCTATAAAGAGAATGATCGTCTTGGGCTGTCTGGTCTGAAGATAAGACCGTGTCATTTCTGCTGAAAGGTTACAATTTAATCGTTTGCACTCTTGTATCTACATATATATTTGCTTATTCGTTCATTGAAAAACTAGAGAGCAGTGTTTTTCTCACTGCAAACCACAGGCCAGTAGTAAGTGAAATCAATGTAGTGGGTCGCAACCAGTATTTTTTAAAGGAAAATAGAATTTTGAAAATAGAGAGTGCCATATATACTGAAATCCTTTCAGTTTTGCGTATCTACATCTCTGCATGTACTAGGCCGCAAGGTAAAATGTATTTCTTATGGGCGCCTGTGTGGCTCAGTCGGTTAAGCGACTGCCTTTGGCTCAGGTCATGATCCTGGAGTCCCGGGACTGAGTCCCGCATCGGGCTCCCTGCTTGGCGGGGAGTCTGCTTCTCCCTCTGACCCTCCCCCCTCTCACGTACTCGCTCTCTCTCATTCTCTCTCTCTCAAATAAAAATAAATAAAATCTTTAAAAAAAAATGTATTTCTTACTGTGGGTCATGGTCAAATAAAAAAAAAAACTGAAAGCCACTGTTATGGAGAAGAACGACTAATGGAATATTCTCCACAGTCAGACAAACTGGCAAGCCAAGCCTGGTTCTAAAACAAGATAACCTAACCCCTATAAGCCTGGTTTTTTCCTTCTTTAAAATAAAAATAATGATACTTATCTCACAGTGTCATTGAAAGAATAATAATTTAAGACACCTAAATACATAAAATAATGATAATTAATAGTTAGTTGAGACTTTACTATGCTACAAGTACCATCTTCTTTAATCACCAAAACAAACCTTATGAGGTAAGTGCCAGTAAACCTCATTTCACAGGAAAGGAAGCTGAGATACTGAGGACTGAAGCAGAAATCTTAATGCACATAAGAGTATGTGTCTCAGTGATTTGCACATAGAGGAATGGACACTATTAAGAATTACCGGCATTACTTTAATGAATCCCTACTTGAATACTTGCCATGTAGCAGGAGTTCAACAAATATTTGTGAGGGGTAAAACATACCTCAGGAACTCAGAGCACTCTTCACAATAAATTAAAAGTAAAATGCTCTGGGAACTTAGAGGGGTAGAAATTCTTCTGAACTACTTTTGTTAAAGGAAGGTTTGGGGAAAAGGGCCTACAGTGAGGTCTTCACTGATGTGGTGGGGTCTGTAGAGGTAAAGGGAACAGTGAAGGCATGATCAAGGCCCAGGGACAGAAGAAAGAGGATACATAGGTTGGTAACAGATTGTAGAGAGAAGTCATTGAGTACGAGCTTAAAGGGACTGTACTTTATCTTACAGCTAAAAGGAAACCACTGAAGACTTTTAACAGTGACTAATGATAAAGATGCAAGCATTGAGACTGCTTAATAACCTCCATATGATTACTGTTTAAAACATTGTGTAGATATTTTGACATGAAAACTGAATTCTAACTTCTCAATTTTATGGGTGGAAACCCAACCTTGCTTCAGGGGAAATTATAAGAATTAATAAAACATTAGGTAATCTCTAGAGTTTTCTGAGAAATTCTATTATAAGATGTATGTACAAATTATTTTATTATAACTGATCAATTTATAAAGTACTTTAGCTTGAAAAAAACTATGTGCTTAAATGTAAGTTTATTAGAACAATTGCGTTTTTTGGGTTGCAGAGTTTGAGGACGGGATTATTTATATAGGTTTTAATTGATTTAAATAATTATGGAAATAATTACAGGGATTAAAAATATTGATTCCAGCCTTTACCTAAAGAAATCAATTTACACCAAAAAAGTATATCCAAATATCTGTTCTCCAACAGATTTAACCCTTAATATTCTAATATTTTTTTTTAATTTTTTTAATTTTTTTTAAAAGATTTTATTTATTTATTTGACAGAGAGATAGCGAGAGCAAGAACACAAGCAGGGGAAGTGGGAGAGGGAGAAGCGGGCCTCCTGCCAAGCAGGGAGCCCAATGTGAGACTCGATCCCAGGACCCTGGGATCATGACCTGAGCCGAAGGCAGACGCTTAACGACTGAGCCACCCAAGCGCCCTATTCTAATATTTATTTTATTATATACTGTGACACAGAAGATATATAAATACATACATATATTTAATTTTAATATAAATATATACATATATATTTAATTTTAATATAAATATATACATATATATTTAATTTTTATATGATGAACTACCTATAGAATTTTGTTTCATCCTGATTTCAAATCCCTGCATCCTGCTATTCTTGAAAATATGTAATAGATTAAACAGAATTCATATTTAAATGAATTGAATAAGATTTAAACCTTATCCTTAAAATATTTTAAACCTTAAAAATGTTTATATGCTATATAAGGCATACAGCATCTAAAGTGCAATCTTACATATTTTGGGTTAAAAAAATTGAAAAAGGGACCTTCTGAAAATTAAGTCCTTGTGCCCAGGAACAGTTCTTGGGGTTTGGAACATCCTCCCAAAACAGCTTTTTCATTCTACAAAGGAGAAACAAAAAACATTCATATTGAAAATGTTCACAGCTAATGAATACACAAACTAGAAATTAATCTACCAGATCAGCTATTTCTCAGTAGAATCTGATTCATTTTCACATGCTATTCCACGAAGATTTCCACCAATGTTTTATTTAGACTAAAGTTAATATTCATTATAATAATAAAATAACCAACACTTATTGAATGCTCTGTGCCAGGCACTATGCTAAACACTTTGAGTGGATTTTTCTTGGAGAAACAATATATTAAAAGTGGCCACCAGAGCACCTGGGTGGCTTAGTTAGTTAAGCATCCAACTCCTGATTTCAGCTCAGCTCACAATCTCAGGGTCCTGAAATTGAGTTAAGATTCTCTCCCTCTCCCTCTGCCCCTTCCTCCCTCTCTCTCTCTCTTTCACAAAGAAAAAAAGGTGGCCATCAGTTGAGTTTCAGAAACAATTCCACTTGATATGGCCCCATCAGCTCATTTGACTGAAAGATATATTCAGAGTCTAAAATCTCCCATCCCTCTTTTTTGCTATAAGACAAAAGTTTCTGTAGAGATTTGACATGTGTGAAATAATTTCATAGGTCTGGGCCTCTCAGCACACGGTGATATGGCACCCTAGAACCACAAGAAATTCAAGGCCATTTGCCAAACCAGACAGACTGGGGAGCCACACAGTGCTGATTTTTAAAAACTGGAGTGCTTACTAATCATAAATGAACTAACCACTCCAGGTAAATCTTCACCACTAAAAAGTCCTCAACCCAAATTGTACATCTCTAAAAGCCATTTTTGCTATCTCTGAGAACACACTGCCTAGGATTTCCTGTTATAAGCTTGTTATTTCCTGAATGTATTTACATATAAAACATGAATTTCATCCATGATGTTTGTGTTGTACTAGCAAAACAGAATGTGGTTTCCTGAAAACAGGCCTTTTCTTTTTAGGCCATCTTAATTGTATACTGAATATACATAAACATATTTAGGAGACTTTAATGTTTCTGATTTGGGTTTTAAATCAAGGTTTAAATACGCTCAAGAGCTTTGGCCATAAAGATTTGTAACACCAAGTGCAATACCTTTGGTGTGATAGTAACAATGTTCCAAGCAGTAAGATTGAAGAGGAAATAATTATTGGCACAATTACATAGAGCCCTGCATCATTCTGGTGTTTTTCAATGTCATCTGAAAAAAAAAAATACAATTCACATGATTCAGAAGCTTGAGGAAATAATATCTTTCTGTATCAAAAATTACAGCAGACTTTTTTCTGATTTCATCATAAATCTGTATTACCTTTAAATATATAAAAATAAAAAAGAAGATAAAAGTATAGCTATGATCACATTAATGAAATGTTATTTTGTGCAGAATTATGCTTACTGTAAGTTGGCAAAACATTTTTTCAAAATTATTTTTTGCCAATTCCATGTGATCACTTCAGGTTATATGAGAAAGTGCCAATTAAAGTTGCTCCAATGACTCTCTGCCTCAGTATCGCTTCTGGATAGCCAACCTTCAACATCTGCCGATCTCTACCTTGTTCACTCCACACACATTGACCTTGCTTTTCTTGAGCCACCAAGCACGCTCATTCTTCAGAACCTTTGCACTTGCTACCCCTTTGTCTAAAATGCTCTTCTCTTTTGTACTTGCATGGCTTGAACTAAAAAGACCAATTCTGACCATCCTAACTAAAGCACCACATTTTAACTCTATCCTTTTACCTTACATTTATTTTGTTACATGGCACTTATTTTTTCTTATTATTAAATTAGTCCTTTTATTAATTATTACCAATTGCCACTCTTATGTTATTTTTTATTGATTTGGGGAGTTTTTTTGAGTGCAAGTAATTTTTTTAAGTTTTTATTTAAATTCTAGTTAGTTAACATGTAGTGTAATATTGGTTTAAGGACTAGAATTTAGTGATTCATCACTTACATACAATACCCAGTGCTCATCACAACAAGCATGGCACTTATTTCTATCTGCCATTATATTATACATGATTTGTTTACTCTCACTACCATTAGAGCATAGGAATTAAGCTCCATAAGGACAGAGACTGGTCTTCACTGTTCAATCCCCAGTTCTTGTGTCCAGCCTGTATGTGTCAAATAATAAATGAATGAATTTTTATAATTATTTTAATTCTAAAACCAGGCAAAATATTTCTCTCTTGAAACTTCATTATTAGGTTGCTTGGACTTGAAGACAATTTGAGCCGTAATAGCAAAATCAAAATGTTGATACTTCAAGTACAGTAAGATGAATTAGAAATTTAAGAGGCATAATGAATTTATTTCTGTAACTACTTCTCCAGTTTTATTTTTAGAGGAAAAATGTTTCCTTTAAAAGACTAATTAAAATTTAAAGGCTTGGGCGCCTGGGTGGCTCAGTCGGTTAAGGGTCTGCCTTTGGCTCAGGTCATGATCCTGGGGTCCTGGGATCGAGCCCCACATTGGGCTCCCTGCTCAGCGGGGAGCTTGCTTCTCCCTCTCCCTCTGCCTGCCGCTCCCCCTACTTGTGTTCTGTCTCCCTCTCCCTCTGTCAAATAAATAAAATAAAAATCTTTAAAAAAATTTAAGGCTCGTAAGTATGTACCTCCAAAACATATTATTTGGAGGTAGATGCATTTATATGAATTGTACAGAAAATTAGTATTTTTCTATTTAGTCTTTCTGATGATGTATTTTATTGTATTGCTGCATATTTTCCTTTATTTCATTTCCATTAACTTTTTATCCAATTTGAGAATGAAAATGTTAATTTCCAATACCAGAATACCATGCTTGATTATTCTCCTTACTACCACACCAAGGGACCATATAGCCTCCCTGACACATCTATGTAAGGAAAAGTCTTACCTTGGGTGAAACTATTAATTATCTTTGGTTTCCCCACTCCTTCCATAAATACTGGGTAAAGACTGAATTGATACTTCTCAATGGGGATAAAATGATCTGAAGAGAAAAATATATAAAAGGTCATTCTTACTGAATTAATATTAACAAGTGAAACCTATATAAAAAATTTAGGTGACTCTCCTATTTTTCTGAACATAGAAATAAGTTGTTATTTATGGATCGAAACTGATGATTAAGGGAGTTTCAAAAACCACCTAAGCATTCCAAATTCTTCTAGTAACGACAATAATTTTCAAATAATTTTTGAAAATATTACCCAGAGACATGAGATTGCAATTTTCAAGGGTATGTTCCAATGATAACCAGTTTGTTCAAGCTCACAGTGTATGAACTTTCACTTTCCCTTTCCCTTTCCAGGACAATATACCCTACCTCCTCTCCCATATCTCCAAAGCCAGCAATAGTCCCCTTTCACGGGCATTTAGCTTGCTTATTTTCCCCATTCAAGGCAGCTGTGAGACTAAAGTCTTATGAAATGCAAAGAAATGGGGGTGGGGACCAGGGGCCCTCTTGGCTTATCCGGGGATCCCCCTGTCAGGGGGACAACCATCTGTATAGCAAGGTTCAAAATGAATCTATCAGTGACATATCATTTTAACAAATGTTAATAACATATAGATATTCCACAAGGGATGAATCTTGTTGAAGCCTAGATTATATATTTCCATGGCTTAAAGAAAAGCACAGAGAATAATCATCTGGACAATAGTGGTAATGAATTGAACTTAGTTCTCTATCAATCATTTCTACTTGCCCTGATGCTAAATTCTAGGGCCTTTGGAATGAAATAGAAGTGCAAGTCTCTGGAGTAATATTGCATAATAGGGTCATGGCAATCGTTAGCTTCCCTACTAAAACCTTACTCAGACTTGCAGATACTACATTGTGTGGAATTACTTTGTATTTTAATCACCTCCTGGGGCAACTGGTCTACTTTGGGGAGTTACGCTTACATCACTTAGTCCTACATTTGTAGACCTTCAGCCTGGCATTCCCACTCACTGCTAGTAGCATTATAAGTTGGTACATAGATTTGGGGAAACAATTTGGTGGTAGATATCAAAAGCCATTAAAAAACAGTCTAGAGAAAAAAAAAAGTAGAGCTGCTGGCAGCAACAAAAATGTTCTCAAATAAATAAATGGTTTAAGTAGACTATGGAGTAAAATGCTATATGATCATTAAAAATCATGGTTAAAAGGGCTGGGGAGAAAATAGAAATGTGTTTGTGATATATCAAAGGAACAAATCAGAAGAAAAGTGATGATATGATTATGACTGTGTAAAATATTTAGAAAGGATTGAATGAAACAGAATTGAATGTTTATGACAAAGTGATAGAATTATATGTGGTAAGATGGTAGTATCATCTACATTTTTGAAGTTTTCATTAACTGGCTATCTTATTTAAATTAATAATCACTCTAATGCTAATCCATAAGAGAAACTTATTAAAGCACAGCAAACTTACCATGGATATAATACTTCTTAACAGATGGAGGGATCCTAAGCCATTTAATTTCACTGTCTTCATTAAGAATTTTCCACTCAGTAACAAAATACATCAGATAGTAGTCACTGGGTGATAGAGTCCAGGAGAGAAGCACACAACTGTTGTTTAAAGGATAAGCACTGAGTGACTGCACGGTATTTACTGAGGGGAAAAAAAGGAAATTTGTTTTTAAATTCAAAATTAATTTTTAAAAAATCTCCTAATACATTTGAGGCACATATAACCTACTGGAGGAAGGGAGAAGGAAGAGAAGGCTGACATTTATATAGATAAATATAATACAATTATTTTTGTACCACAGAGTCATATATGCAGAAAGATGTGGGAACATATGCCATTGAGGAGAAACCAAAATGGGGTTTTGGGATAGAGTCAAAAAAGTTGCTCTCCACCGGAGTACTGCACAAGCCTATTCATCATCCTCTCTACTTCCCTCCAAACTCCTCTCCTGCTGATGGAGTTGGGCTTTCAAAGGACAAATCTGATTATTTAACACCCTTTGCACAAAGTCCCATTTAAAAGCCTCCACTGGATTTCCACACGTGAGGATGAACTGTCTACCATGTCTGTGAGGCCCAGAGCCAAGCCTCAGCCGAACTCCCAGCCTTTCAGGATTTTGTGCACCAGAGCCACCCCAGTCGTCTTCCGTCGGGTCCTCTCCTGTGCCATGAGGACTTTCCGTCAGACTATCCCTCTCTCAGGAGCCCATGCTCTCTCCCCACCTATATGGCTTCTTAAGAAAGCTTCTCTAACCCTCAATGCCAAGTCAGGTTCTATTTTCTTTTCTTTCATAAAATTACATTCCTTTCCTGGGAACACTGATCTCAGTTTGTAAATAGGCATTAACTTATATGATTATTTGATCAATGTCCGTGCATCTATTGGAGTCTTCTGAATGCTGAGACCATGCTCATGGTCTGAATGCTGGTTTTTGAATGGTTTCTGAATGCTGAGACCATTAGAGTTTTTCTCACATTGGAATTCCCACCACCTAACACAGCACAGCATTCAATAAAAATCTCTAGAACATACTGGTTGAAAATATTTTTAGTGTAAAACATTGTGCAGATGCTATGGAACTTACAAGAAGCTTACGCCATACATACAAAAGTAATCATAATTTAAGGCAAGATATAAAATACCTTAAGAAAGGTAGAAAGCACCCTGATTTAGGACATATCTAATTAAAGCAACAAGCAAAGACTTCATGGAAGAGATTAGTAGAGGCAGAGTAGATTTGAATTTTCCATTAAAAAGTTATACTTTGAATATGTAATCCAGATCAGGAGCTCCCATTAAAAGAAGTTCTCAATTCTCTAATTAATCAAATATATCAAAATTAATGAAAGAAGGCTCATCACTCATATGAGATGAAGTACAGGTTAATTTTCAAATCTGAGCAATTATTTGCATCCATATAGTATGTAATACTATTATATATATGTAATAAATATAACATACACATATACATGTACTTATTTTTACATATATATATACACACACACACACACACACACAGACCAGGAGAGAGACTGATTTACGTACAACTTCCACTGATGCAAAAGGTTTAAGTATTAGATTTACTAGAATATTCTCATTTATCATAATACTGTATCAACATGGTTCTATTACATGAAAACCCAAGGACCATATTACAAAATCAGGGTGCAATCTCTTTTGCTATTTTTCAGAAAAGAAGAGATAAGAGAAGAGAGTCCTTCAGATTCAGAGAATTGCAGGCTTCTTGGAAGATCATTTAGAATGGGAGGAGTATGTAAAAATTAAATGCTAAAAGGGGCACAGGTTTACTACCCTGCACCCTTTCTTACCTTTGCTCATAGGCCATGAGAAGGTTAAATTAAAATTCACAAAAGAAGCACCAATTGAATTGACAGCCAGAATTGTAACAGAATGTGCTTGTTCTGTCCACAGGAAAGTGAATTTAGTGTGATTTCCCACATCTTCTGACCATGTTCCATTGCGGGAAGTATGATGTTTTACCACATATTTTCTCACACTGCACAATGAGTCATTTTTCATCAGAGGCTGTAGTAAACATAAAAATTGATTAGTTTAAGGGCTCCAGTGCTTTTTATACCAACCAAGGCCATGAACTCTTTTTATACGTTCCCCACCGGGAGGCAGGGTCAGACCAGGGCAAGCCCTGTCTAGTTCAAGGCTGAGATATGGGGAGGTGAGGGGGGATAGAGCTCGTCTCTGACCACAGATGCAGTGAAGGCATCTGGGTGGGTATGGAGCATAGGAAATTTATTTTCTTCCTTTGGGGTTTTTCTCCTTAAGACTCAGAGAATAAATCACTTAAAGATAATTAAATACGGATACAATTAGGACACTTTTCTACCAAGAAGTTTCACACTAATTTTAGAGAAAAGAGAGACCAGCAGGGGGTCAAGAGTTTCCTTATCGAAAAAGCAAACAAGGAATAACCCTCTAGTTCTGTAAAGCAACAACAAGAAAGCTGAAGAGATGTTAATCATCATTTATGTTAATCCCAGTAAGATTTATCATTTGTTTGCTGCTCTTCTGATCTGTTGCTAATTCAAGTAGCAGAGGCTACCAGAACCATGTATTCGGCACCCCAGAATTTCTGCCCCATAGTTTAAAAAAAAATCATACCAGATCACTGATGATTCCAATATAATATAAAATATATGTCTCTGCTCTTTCATTTTATAGAGTATTAACAATATACCCCACCTGCCCCATTACCACCACCTGTTTCAAATAAGATAAACCAGGGGTGCCTGGGTGGCTCAGTCGGTTAAGCGTCTGCCTTTGGCTCAGGTCATGATGCCAGGGTCCTGGGATCGAGCCCCTCATCAGGCTCTCTGCTCAGCAGGGAGCCTGCCTCTCCTCCTGCCCCTCCCCCTCCCCCCTGCTCGTGCACACATGTGCACGCTCTCTCTCTCCCTCTCTCTGAAATAAATAAATAAATAAATAATCTTCAAATAAGATAAGCCAAGCCCTTATAAACCCATAGAAAATGATTCTCTACGATAGACTGGAACAGTGCTTCTCAATATATTTGTTTGTCATCGAGATTCCTCTGAGTCAGACATAACAGACAAAAATAAATACAAACGCATATACATGTGTCCCTGCAGGGTGTGGAACAATGTGGGCAGGGGGGGAGTAAGATCTGAGCAGGCATCATCTAGTCCAGCCCTGCATTTATACAGATCAGGAAGCTGCGGCTGAAGAGTCTAAGTGACTCCGCCAAAATAATGCTGACTGAGCTCTAGAGCTCAGTTGAGCTGAGGACAGAATGAATTCCCACACTCCGTTCCAGGGCCCCCTCCACAGAGCTCTTTGCAATCCCATCTCAGAATGGAAACAACCAAGTCAATCTTTCGTGAGCATAAAAATAAAATTTAAGAGTAACATAAAAGCAGGAGTACCTTCCAAAGTAAAGTAACATTTCTCTCCTTTTTAGTGGTGTCTTCCTTAATTATTCTCCAAAATTCAGGTCCTCTGGTAGGAACTGCAGAATGACAAGGAGCCCAAGTGGTACACGTGTTCTCAGGAGGAATATGTTTGAGTGACATTTGAAACACGCCCATATGCTTGCATTTTTAAGGCACATTTACAAAATCTCTACAGACCTTTTATATCCATGACAACTGTGTAGGCGGGACTACTCCAATTACTCCAATACCCCAGGCCATCCAGCCTCCGGCAGCGCACCTGAACAGCATAGACTGCACACAGGTCTGGCACCAGGACACTGGCCGACTTTGATTTTGCATCATATACCTCATACATCTGTAAAATAAGGTCAAGCGTTAGACTAATCATTACTAACACCTACGTAGGTGGCGAGCCCGAACGGCATTCTATTTAAAACCTTACTACCATTCCAAAATTAAGAGAGAACTGACTTCGTGTTTTCTGGCTTGAGAAATACTTGTATTGGACTTGGATCATGAGCTCCTTCAAGTTAAGGATTGTCTCAGTCATCTTGTTGTTTCCTCCTTAGGACAAGATTTGAACTGGCCTTCTTGCAACCTCGTCCCCCAGTCACTCTTCACTCTGTTACTGATCTCTGTCCACTAATTCCCTATCCACAAAAACTCTCAACAATTTTAACCTCATGATTACATAGTGATATCTCTGTTACTCAGTCTCCTCAATAAGCTGGTAAACTGTCACATTCCTTTCAGCTAAAATCTTTATGATCTAATGACATAACATTTAGGGTTCCTGACGTTTCTGGGTCTTTGCAGGCTGCCATCTGAAAACTGACACGGCCAGTCATCATATACTCTGGGTGTGATTTTGGTTGTTTGATAAAAGCAGCTTCTTCCAAAATATGTCCCAATGAATATATACGCACTAAAGAATATTATTAGATGTTAAAGGAAAAAGGGTTCCTCGGTAAAATGAGTTTGAGAAACATAGGATGAAACAAAAGTCACAAATAAAGTCACAGATGTTTCTTTAATGCAAGACTTCTCCGAACCTTTAGTATGTAACAGTGTGATTTAGTATGTAACAGGAACACACAGCGATGCAGGGTTTCCTAAGTTGATTCAGCCATGCAATCTTTTTTCAAGGAATATTTTATGCGATCAATGTTCTGTCACACTCATTTTGGGAAATGATGGCTTGCAGGAAATGTCATTTCTTGAAAGGGTTAGACCTATAGCAATCTACTTAACAAAAATAGCTACAGAATACAGGAAGAGGTACTTTTATGCCAATAAAATAAATCCTAATCTATACAGTTATTAAAACAGTTGTATGAAATAACATTTAGTGAGGCAAGCTGAAGACATTTCTCGGTAAAAGGTACCTTCCACTGTACTTCTTTTCCATTTAAGCCATAGCGAATCTGGAACTTAAGATTATTCTCTGGAAAGATTGGCTTTTCCCAAAATATTTTCAATAATCCAATTTTTACAGTAATTTCTGCTTTCACACTGGATGGAGGCAGTGGTTTCACTAGAAATTTTAAAAACAGGATACTATAACAGCAACTTAAACAGTGATAATATTTTAAAAACATTATTATGATGTTATAACTTTTATACTCAATATTTATAAAGCAATCTCTCCTTCTCAAAGTTCCTCATTCATTATCTCACTTGATCACCTACAATTTCAGGTGACACGTAAGAAAGGGATTATCTCTATTTTGCAAATAGGTTGATTGGGAAAAAAATCAATACAATGACCATGTCATCTGCAAGTAATAGTAAGATCTGACTAGAAACTGGGCCATTAGTTCCGCATGCAAAAGATTCCGTACTGAACATATAAGTATCGATAGCATACTCTGTTCTACGTAGAGCTTTAATAAAAAGAAAAATATGACATGCACTGTATTCATTTCCACATGTGTGAGTTTCAAACTGTACTACTCTTATTATTTCTAAGTCAAGGTCAGAGATAGTCTTACAGAATAAAGCCCCAGTTCTCTATCATCTGAGGAAAACAGGATTTTGAAGGGCAGAAGTAGAGGCAAAGATGACCAGAATGGCAAAGGCTTAAAAAAAAAAAAAAGTAAAAGACAATATGCAAACTCAACATATTTGGGAACTAAATGTCCCAAAGCCCCAGCATACTAGTGTGAACTTTGAAGCTCCGGACTTCATCAACAATACCTTAAACTGTTGATGACCAAAACCCCTGAACTTTTTCATTACTACAGTATCTCATACTTACTCAATTCTTCATATATGAAGAAGACACTCTATACCAACCAGTAAGATGACACGCAGTTCATCTCCTGAAAAAATCATTCCTCCTCAGAAAAAGAAGTATGTATGTTTGAGAGACACTAAGATTGTACTTGACTGAATCATATGGATGTCATATGGATCCATTCCATGAATATCTAGTTTACAGAAAGGATGCTTTAAAGTATAAGAGTCTGCATGATCCCCACAGCACACACCCTGGGGAGTTAAGCAGAGCTTTCCACATTTTATGGGTGATAAAATAGTCACAGAGCACTTACATGTCTAGCCCATGTTTACAAAGCTAGTAACAGGTGGTGCTGCATTTGGATCCTAAAGTTGAATCTCCACATTGTTTCCTAGTACTAAGGAGTTGATAGAAGCCCAACTTAAATTCCTTATTTTAGTACTGAAAAGAGTAACATCGAAGGTTGTTTGGATAGCATACAGAACTGAATCCATGTTGCATTTGTCATATATTACACGTGAGGTTATATCTGTGCATGTTTGTGGGGTAGAGAGTGGTAGGTGGGTTCTTTGCTGTCCCAAGATACTTAGTACCAGAGAAGTCCTGCTTACAGTAAAATCATTTTAAGTGGAACCAAACTAAATAGCGGGGGGGGGGGGGGGGAAGGAGGGGCTGGCGGGCATGCTAGCTTTGGGGGTGGGGAATCAATTAATTGGGGCTCTATAGTGATTTTAAAAAACCCTAAAAATTATGACTTTATGCTTATTTAACAAAATACAGGTTTTAATTCAGATGTGTACTAATTATTTGAAAATATAATGGATCAAATATTGATTTTGGGCATAATTTCCCAACAAAACAGAATACAGCACCAAAAGATACTCTTTTACCTCTGTTGTATAATCATAAATGGGTCATTTCTCAAAGATTTCACAGCAATATTGGAGAGATATATATTTCAAGAGCTCTCTTAACTTCGAAATCAATATATCTTTTTAAAGAGTATTTAAAATTCATGATGGATATCATCATCCTTGATCTATTGTCTCTTCTTCACTTTAGTTATTTTGAATCCTTCTGCATCCTACACAGCCTCACAAATTAAACCCATGGGTTATGACTACTAGATTACAAAATCCATCACAACACCCAAATTAAATTTTTAAATTAAAAACACCAAATGTTTTCATAAGTATATTGGGAGAAAAACAAAGCAGTGCATTATTTAGATTAATATTACTGCTAAATTTTATTCCCAATGCCCAATATAACTCATCAGATTATATGCTGAAAATATTCCTATTGCAAAAATACTGTGCTATAAGTAACTTAAAATAAAATAAAAATGGCAAAACTTTCTAAGGTTGATTGTCTTCCCAATTCCACTGTAAACATGAAAAAAGTTTTTTTTTAAATATAGTGTGATCAGGAAATGGTAAAACACAACAGTTTCCATGAATCAATCTGAATCCAAATCTGCTAGTAAAAATGAAGACACACAACACAGTTTGACATACCCACAGAATCAGGAACGACACACGTTGGTGGAGAGTCAAGTGAACCCAAAGAGTGATTGATTTTAATCCACATTGTATAGCCGGATAATAGAAAGATTGGCTGAAATATGCATTCATAAAAACCATCTCTCTGCAAGTGGCAATCTTTGGGTTCAGATATGGGATGAATAGATGGAACATCAGAACAGTAAAGGCTGCTCCTTAAAAGATATGAGAACAGTCAGTTAATATACAACATTGTTGAAAGCAGTAAGATATTTGAGAATACCATCGTTTCTGTTCCATCTAAAATAAATGTTCTTATTGGAAAGGCATTTTTGAATTCCCAGCTCTATCACAATTTTATATCTTTCCATAAAAATAGACAATAAACCTTATTAAACATTTTATTAGGTACTAAGTGGAAATGCAAGTAAAATAAATGGCATTGCTCTAAGAAGGAGATAAGGATCCAATTAGAGGTAGGCCCTACAACACTTTGAAAGTTAAGCTAACGTTATACATAAGTGATACCATTTTAGAAGTATAGATCGCAAGCGGTATTGGGACATTCCCGAGATGGGAAGGAAGATAAGTCCCTTATGCTTTAAATAGGGATTAAATTCCACTACAACTTGAAGACACAATTGATAGTAAATTACAGCTTAATTGACAATGTCCCAATATTTTCTAGTTCAAAGCAATATAATGAAAATAATAGCAATTCTTGATTCATACCTGAATCATATGGTTAAATGTAAAACACATATAACACATTTTCTCAGAGAAGAAAATTAAGAAAGTAAGTTTTATAACTGTGTCCCGATCTACACTCTACCTCAGAATATACAAAGCACTTCTCCTTTTCTTTGAAATAGCCCTGCTGCCACTATTTGCTCTCAATATGGCATTTAAGTGGTTAAAGTAGCAGTTAACTGTTTCCATAAAATTGGAGTTAGGAGGTTACAAGAAAATGAAAAATCTATATTCTTCTGTTTCTCGTTTTCTATTTTTTTGTGACACTTTTCCTGCTTACCCCCTCAAAATTACAATCATTGGGGTGTGTGTATGAATGAGTGCTGGCAGGGGGATGGCGGGGGGGGGCGGGCAGGGAAGGGGAGGGCCAGAGATGAGAACAAGGCATGAGGCGTCCTCTGTGGGTAAGAAGAACTGTGACCATGTACTAAAGCACAGTAATACTCCACTTGGAATGCAGAGGTTAGTGTCTTTGTCATAATGACAGCAACAGCCATTTATTGAATATTTACCAGGAGAAATTCTATCGCATAATTATAATTAAATGGAATATATCATTAATTCTAACAGAAACCTTGTAAGTCCTGTTATTCTATCCCACTTACAGACAAGGAAATCGAGTCTTGGAGAGGTTAAAAAAAACCTGCCCGAGTACATGCAGGGACTTTCACAGTTCTTCTGTAACTGTTAGCAAGATAAGACACAGAGCTTATGTGATGGTCATCCACAAACACCTTTTTTAATGTGAAAAATGCCATGGAAAGAAAGCAAAGATAGATTATAAAAGTAAAATGGCATCCATGAATATTCTATTGATTTCAAAATACTCGTATCAGGTAAGATAAAGCCAGCTATTATTCCTATGTAAGAAATGTAAAAATTGTCCCATTTTTTTCTAATACTACATAAGAATAGACTGGTCACTTCAGGAATAGAATTCAGATCACAGTACTTGAGGGGGGGGATTTGTTTTTCAAGTAGAAAATTTAGATTTTAAGAATAAATGAGGACAAGTGAAACAAACTGGAAGACCCCAGTACAAACACAAACTGAGACAGGGTGTTTGCAGTACACATAACTGAAAACTACTAAGAGAGATTATAAAAATAAAAATATATCTACTTTCTCCTAATCAAGAGTGCTATTATTTCAGATGATACTATGGGAAGATGAAGTCTTGAATTCTTTTCAAAACAGGGAAGGGTAAAAATATACAAGCACAAATCACTCTCTATTACAACCCTTCACTCCTTAAGTGTTTCTTTCTTAGTCTTTCCTACTTCTAAAAGTATTCATATTATGTCTTACAATCTTTGTGCCACTACCTCTGACTTTTTTCCAAAATATTAATCTTCAGCAAATTATTGGACTTTTATAATCGCTGATATTCTCCTCTAGTCAACTCTGAGAGAGTTCAAATTAACTCTTAGAGAGGTCAAATTAAAATGTACAGAAACCAGCTTTTCTTGGATTTCATTCTGTAGTTAAAATGTAATTATGGAAAATTAATCGATTATCAGAAAAACTAATTGGAGGTAAAAACGAATTACATGTTTTACCTCAATGTGAGTTCTTTCAAAAACCACCAATTTATTTGATCCCTTAAAAATTTCCTAATCAGGGCGCCTGGGTGGCTCAGATGGTTAAGCGTCTGCCTTCGGCTCAGGTCATGATCCCAGGGCCCTGGGATCGAGTCCCGCATGGGGCTCTCTGCTCCTTGGGAGCCTGCTTCTCCCTCTGCCTCTCTCTCTCTCTCTGTCTCTCATGAATAAATAAATAAAATCTTAAAAAAAAAAAAATTTCCTAATCAAGTAGATTCTTCCTTCCTCTTTCAGGAAGAACGTCTACTAGAGGACTGTTATGAGGATATTTCTACAGGAAGTCTTAGCTCACCATATCCCCAGAACAATCAAACGGCAAAAACAGTGCTTACCTATGATACCTCAGCTGCAAAGTACTTCCCATGAGTGATTGGATTGCATTGGTCGACCATCTGCAAGTCATTTTAGTTAAGTACCCGTCAGTTTCACATGATATATTGATATTGACATCTATTTAAAACACATTAAAATATTAATACAAAGCAAAAGCACCAAAGCAATTTTCAATGAAAATAACATGTCCTTACGTTATCAGTGGGACTCTAGTACAGGGTCCCCAGTCCCCGGGGAGGAAAACGGGGAGGGTTGCCGATGCTTACCCATCACGTAGAGCTCCGCGTAGCGATGGTGGCATTCCTGCTGGTTGCAGCAATACACGGCGTCGTAGGTGAACTTCCCACGAGGCTTGGTCGCCTTCAGATTTGCAAAGGTGACCCTGCTCACGCGGTCACCCGCCACGCCATACTGGCTCGGAGGGATTCTCTCCGCTAAATTCAGCCACCAAACAATCTTTTTTGAGGAAACAATCTCGTTTTCATTTTTATAAATGCAGTGGAAAGAAACGTTAGACCCGACCCTTGTCAGAATTTTAGGCGGAAAGTATATGACATCTGCAATAAGAGAAGAAGGGGAGGATGTCAGATGAAGACCAAAAACATCCTGTGAGGAATGAATTTACGCTACGTAGAAAGGCTTCACAATGCGTTCAGGATCACACTGCCAAAAATGAAGTGAGTGTCCTAAGAGACTGGGCAACTGCAATCGCCTGTTTATGGACAGTCACGTAGCATCCCAGGCACTCACTCCCATTCCCAAATGACTTGACCTTCCAAAAATGTCTTCACTGTTTTCTAAACATAGAGACTTAGTACAAAATAGGTTTTAGTGCGTACTTCTCACTTGCTAATGGATAGGCCGAAAATGAATTCAAATGAAATATAATCTAATTCCACAATGACACGTTTCCCATCAGACTCCGCTTTAAGAATCAGTGAACTGTAGGGTGAGTTTTTGAATCAAATCACTCTAAGGCAAAATCCTGAAGAAAAAATGGTGGTTGCTATTGTTTCATTTGGATATATGAAAATTTCAAATAAGCAGGTAAAGTAGAAAAATGAGATTTAAGTAAGAAAACTAGTTAGGATATGTAAAATCAATGATGCACCAACGCACCAAAACAGGAAAAACTGTAAATACTGATCTGTAATATTTTAAGTTATTTAATGCCAGTACGCTGTGGTTAAGGACAAGGGGAACCAATATTTTTCTAAAATATTATTTTTAAGGCCTCTACACTATTCCATACTACTTTTTTGGCCCCCTATTGTTGGAAACATAGTTTGCCTCTGTTTTAAATTAGAAACAGAACAAAAGTAAATGACTGTTTACACAAGAAGAAATTATTTCTGCCACAACGCATTACAAAAACAGTGTATTTCAGTTGTGCAATTTAAAGTAGGGCATTTTCTGCTGAAAGAATATGAGTATCTGTTTTCATACATATCATCCGGATGACCCCCAAAACAAAAACAAAAAACTTCATTTATTTTTATTATGTATATTTTTTTCTTTTTTGTAATAGCAAGCTAAACTCCCCTGTCCTTATATTTACAATCCATACAAAACCTCTGTACTTGGTATTTCTACAGTCAAGCATAAACAGGAAAAATTTTAGTAGCATGAAATCACTGGACAGAAGTCAGTCCATTAGATTTATAATCCTAGCCTAGGGTGACACTCAAGCTTCATTGGCACATTACTTACTACACACAAGTACCTAGCACAGACCTGAAAGATTATTAACCTACTTTCAATATGCTCCACATCTCATTACTGAACTGCTTCAGAAGTCTAAGAGTAATTTATTTTTTAAAGAGTATAAATAAGACTTCAAAAGTTAAGCTGAATCTTTTAAAGATAATAAAAATCTCAAAGCACTTCACTTCAAAATTGAATGCCTAAGTAAGGCTTAATTGAGAAATACAGTTAAAGTCATAGTATTTTGGCATGATTAAATACTAAAATATTAGCTTAAAAAGAATAAAAACAAGTTATTAAAAACCTGATTTTGTAAAATTTACCCACTGAATATATAGAAATTGATATGAAGTAAATGCTAAATATTTAATTTTCAAAATAATACAAATATATATTTTATTCTCATGTGAGATACACAATATTTAATTTGTAAAATAAGAAAATAATTTTCTTCTCATGACTAAGTACTAATACTTTTGCAGAATCTACACTAACGAATTTCATTAAAAGAAGAAATTCTATTGATAAATATTAGTGAATTACTCAAATGAACATAACTCATAAATCAAAACATCTTAAAGTTATTTTAAAATGTGTTTATTATAGCACCAGAAAATAGATTTTTACATTTTCAAAGCAGATTTCCTATTTTTCTTTACGGGGAAAATATTTTCTCTAATACATTACAAGCACTGTCAAGTATGAAATGTAGAAATTAACTGTTTCTCCTCTTCTCTGGCAGCACAAGATCGCAATTAAGAAAGGTATTACAAAAAAAAAAAAAAAAGAGAAAGGTATTACAAGAAGTCAGCACTTCTAAACTTATTTTCAGTATGTAGCATAACTTAATTGCAATATTCTTGGCCTTCTTAAGTTCTGGCAAGGTCCCAGGTATTCTTCTAAGGGTCCACGATCTCCCAAATCCGCAAGAATTCCTTGATTAAAAATGGTCAATGCTTCTTTAACTGTGTACTTGGTAGGTACAGCTTTAATAAATCAATGAACAACAACAACAAAAATCATTGAACAAAATGTAGTAGCTATAAAGGAACTGATAATTAGCATCTGTTGGCTCTGGCACTAATACATGAGACAGTCTCTGTTCCCCCAAAAAATTAATAAAATCCAGAGTGTTTGGAAATGATAAAGTAGATGTGCTAATTCATTCTAAGTAAGTTAATGCCTCAGTCTTACAGAATGTTTCTGTTTCGTGGATGCCAACAGTGAACAGCAGAGGATAATCTAATCATATTAAACACCTAGGTTTAAGGGAGAAGGATCCAAATCTTTTTACACAAGAAGAGGAAGCTCCCAAGTTTGGAGAAACATACTTCACTGGTGCACACGGTTCAAGAACAAGCCTCCAGTGCTGTAAGCGCTGGGGGATGTGGGAACTGCTTCGAAGGCAACTCAGCAAACCTGAGACCTGAAAAACCCAAGCAACGCTGAAACCTCATTTATCAGGAACCATGAAGGAAATGAGGTGTTCCGCTAAAGTGCTCTATGTAATTAAGCTTACCGCTGATTAGTGCCCAGGATCAATTTTTGGTGACATAAACATACGTCAGGCACTTAATCACTGTATTAGTGAGTACAAACATCACTCTGGAATTAGACTGCCGGCTCTAGATTGTGCCAACTTTTACAATGTACTTAACCTCTCTAAATCCCGATTTCTTTGCGAAAGGGGAATATCAGTACCTATCTCACAGGGGATCAAAAGGATAAAATGATAATATATGTAAAGCACTTAGAACAGTGCTTGAAACACAAGAAGCACTCCATAACTGTCATTATCATTATTATTATTATTATTCAGTAGAGAAGTATGAACCTACTTATACATTTGATTTGTGATTCAGTACCCATCGTTACGTCGTTACTGTAGACGATCCTATAACAGAGAAATGTGCTTGGGAGCTACTGAAGTGTGGAAGCTCTTCTCCCCGCACTTGGTGTCCCTAGTCTCCTTTATATTTGGTAAGTTTCTGTCTTTCCCTTAATAATCACCTGGTACCACTCACTGGCATTTAAGCCATCCAAGCCTGTTAAATTAGTAAGCTTACCTTTACACTCATTGCTAAATCAACAAATTCTGCCCTTGGGGGAGCTATTTACTTACTGTCTGGATTTATTTTTCACTTACTATCAGATATTTCTATTTGGGATGTCTAAAGTCACTAGAGGGACACACCTGTGGTGAATAAGAAGTAAAAGGCCCAGTGTTAACTGCAATATTGTTAGACACTTTAGCAAGTAAATTGGCAAAGTTTCTTTTCAACAAAACATATCTTTATTACTGTCATGTACACAAAACCCTAAATATTTGCATAGGGAAAAGCATATATATATATACATATGTATGTGCTTTATAATATATATTAATAAATCTGATTTATATTATGTATAAAAACATATAAATGTGGTCCAACATATTAAAACCAAGCAAATTTAATCCTACAGATATTGACGTGAACTAAGAAAGTAACAGTAGTCTAAAAGGGTTTTGTACTAAGTAAAACAGAACTAAAACTAAGTCCATCCAAAGGTCTAAAAACCTAAGTTGAACACTCCAAAACAAAAACTTACATGAAATGTAACACAAATAACTATTATATTATACTGGATCAAAATGTTCATCTTAACCCCACTGAATACAGAATTGCTAAGAATCATTATTCTAAAAAGGTATAAAATATAACTTGAATATTAGCAAATCTTAAAAATAATAATGATCCTTTTAGAATTTCCCTCTTCTTTAGGGAGGGTAGGTTTTCAGATCTAATTAAGAAGTAAAATCACAAAGAAAGCCATCCCACTCAGGGTGGGAGTCAGGATTACTAGCCTCCTCTGCCTCCCGCTTTACCCCATCCCCTTCTCTTAAAAACCTCCACATGTTGTAATTTATCCCCCTCTACATAATTCACCGCTGGTCATTAAGACCTATTAATCAACGATAAATAATTGAATGTAGAAAAGCTGACCTTCCTCCGACAAATTCCAGAAGCTGAGTCGTCAGCACACACATTGTGATGCTCAATAATTATCTGAGGAATCGTGATGAGAAATCCATGTCTTGTAAATCTGTTCACAGAAGGTTCCTGGCTTTCCTAGTGAGAACCAATCCTTCCCATTGCCTAGTACTTTGCTAGCTCTTCTGACAAGCTTGCTCATGCAATTAGTTATGAATCTTATCAACTTGAAACCTTCATTAGATGCTGAGATTTTGAATATTGAGATTGTGGCTTTGTAAACTATGATTGCATCTACTGTTTACTGGGTGCTTACTAAAGGTCAGGCACTGCAGTGAGCACAGTAGGTGCACTGTTTCTGTCTATCCGTAATAAAAATGTCCCTATTTTGCAGATGGGGCAACTGAGGCCTAGAAAGGTGAAGAAACTTTCCAAATAAGTGGTGAGGCCAGTACTTCCATAAGATTCTGTCAGACTCCAGAGTCTGTGTTCTTAAACCACATGCTACTGGCTTTTTGACAAGTCAATGCTTTTTAAATAGGAAGTAACCAATAAATGAACTTATTTCATTAAATGTGTTGACTGTCTGCTTAGTGATTTTCAGGGGACTTGCTGTCTCTATATCTCCATAATCAACCTGCACGAGTTTCAGTAGGAATCATTTTGCTCTTTTGACAGATCAGACAACGAAGCAAAGAACCTTGAAGTGTCTTCCTAGCGTCACAAGTTAGCATATGACAGGGTTGGACTATTCTAAGGTTCCTGGGACTATTTGTAAACCACCACCTCAACTTCATGAGGAAGTTTTGAATAAACCACAGTTTTTCTGATGTTAAAGATTAAAAACATGAAAACTGAAAGTGAAAACTCTCAAAAGCCAGCATCTGGAGTGAAAAGAACTATTTCGTTATGTTATTATTTATTGTAGTATATAAAATATAATAATTAAATGAAATTTGAATATTTGGAATTTATGTCAAATAAATATATCTGATTTTAAATGTAAATTAAGGAAACACTGATACCAGTAGGGTTCTGAATTTGTGAATTTGGAACCTTTCTATTAAGTCTATCTTTTGAATGGGTAAGAGTAATTCAGCAAGACACTGCTATGTACGCACATAAACTTGGGGGCTCTTCTATAAGTTGCTTTTGCACGTTTTCATTCACAAAGTAACCTGCCAACACTTAAATAAAGCGTTAATATTGTGTCCCTCCTTTTGGTTTACTGCTACGAAATTTAAGATGCTTACAACAGGCCAAGGCAAAAATCAGGAAGCATATTCTCCTCTCGATAGGAGTTACTATTACAAAACCTACCTTGTGTGGTAAAGATAAGAGGGGTGCTCCAGTCACCCCAGGTTCCTGGGCCATCCAGTCTCTTGCCCCTCACTTGAACCTCGTATGAAGACCCAGGAAGCACACTGTCTATCAGCAGAGATGTAGCTGAGACAATTTCATCAGCCTGTTAAATATTGTTTGAAAACATCAGAGCATCAAGTTGACATGGAACCTTCATCAAAACTGAGAACAAGCAGTCCCAACAAATTTCAAAGAATGAAAGTCTTACAGAATAGTTGGCCGGCCACGGTGGAATTAAACAGAAATCAGTAACAAAATAACAAATGTTTGCACTTTTGTCAATAAATTTTTTTTAAAGATTTTATTTATTTATTTGACAGAGAGAGACACAGCGAGAGAGGGAACACAAGCAGGGGGAGTGGGAGAGGGAGAAGCAGGCTTCCCGCTGAGCAGGGAGCCCGATTGATGTGGGTCTCGATCCCAGGACCCTGGGACCATGACGTGAGCCGGAGGCAGACGCTTTATGACTGAGCCACCCAGATGCCACTGTCAATAAAATTTTAAATAGCCCGCGAATCCAAGAAGAAAATCACAATGATAATCAGCAGATATTTTTAACTGAATGATAACGAATATTGACCTTGTGAAATTTGACAGGTACAGCTAAAATCAGCTGGGAGTTTCAGGGCACTGCTGACATCTATAATACACACCTGGTAGAAAATGATGAGCAGGAGCAGACACAGAATTAGAAACATTCCTAGAGGAAAGTGTCACAGAGGAGGGCGTGAATAATTTTAAGAACCTGAACCTGATAAGCTATAGTAAATCAAAATACAGTTTACAAACTAGAGGGCAAATAGCTAAGAGACCTAATTCTGCAAGAAACAACTATTAAGAATTGCTTAGCGGGGCGCCTGGGTGGCTCAGTTGTTAAGCGGCTGCCCTCGGCTCAGGTCATGGTCCCAGGGTCCTGGGATGGAGACCCGCATCGGGTTCCCTGCTCAGCGGGGAGCCTGCTTCTCCCTCTCCCACTCCCCCTGCTTGTGTTCCCTCTCTCGCTGTCTCTCTCTGTCAAATAAATAAATAAAATCTTAAAAAAAAAAAAAAAAAGAATCGCTTAGCAAATACATTCTGTTTTCCAATGACGTACTCCGAAGTTATTGAAATCCCTGGCCTCTTAAACTGTGGGTTCCAGAAACCAAAAGGGTGAAAAGCACCACAAATGTATTCTACAATAGCAGGTCACCTAGATTTCAAATCCTGTTGTTTCTATTTTGCAGATGAGAAAGCTGAAGCCCAGAGAAGTCTTAACTCTGCTTTTCCCACACAGGACACCAAGGATTTATTTTCTGCTCTTAATGAAAATAAAGTCTTTATAAAATTGGCCCAGAGGTACAAAGACAGGTTTTTACTTCTAAATTATATAACAATTCGTTTCACAAAGGAAAATGCCAAAGTCCAAGCACAGCCCATGCTCTTTATGACGTCCTCCTTCTCTCCTGCTCCTCTTTGATTCATCCACTGCAACTCTTGCCCTCACTGCCTACCCCAGCCTCCAGCTTCTTACCCGGCGTAGGGCCTCTGAATTACTGTCTTCTCTCTTTGGAAACTAATTCCCCCAGATATCTACTTCACTAACCTCCTTCAGAGCCTTGCTCAAATGTCACCTCCTCCATGAGGTCTTCCCCACCTCCACTTAATATTACAACCTACCAGCTCTACCAGCACCCGTTAGCTCTACCACTCAGTGCATCCTGATGCAAACAGAACAGTTCCTAGCACCTAGGAGGTCCTCAATAACTACTGAAAGAATGCAAAAAGAATTTGACAGACCTTGTATTACAAATGCGTGTGCTGCGAGTAAGTATGTTGAGCAATAAAACAATAGTTGGAATCGTAAAATCAGAAATCAGAGGTCTGTAGGTGAGAAAATTATCATTATGAATTCAAGTTTCTATAACTGGACTTCCTGTAGCCATTTAGCCCTGTGTGTGTGTGTGTGTGTAAGGAAGAGAGAGAGGGAGGGAGAGGGAGAGACAGAGAAAGTTACTAATCTAACATAATTTTTTGGGGGGAGGAAGAGGAATTTGGAACTTTCTCTGGCACTAAAGTCTGGGAGGAATTTATCACACTCCTCAATATATAACATAGACCCATACATAAGAGATATTGTGCAACATCAAACAATTTCTCCAAAAGCGTTTACCGAAGATACGGACATGTTGTTCATGTGGTCATGTCCTATGCTGATCATAAATGAAGGCCAGTGATATAATATTAAATTACAGCTGATTTAGCTCTAGGAGGACCATGCATGTCTGGCATACAAAGGGCATTTTCTACTGGACCTGGAAAGGGTCTCTAGTTGTTTCTCAACCTTTCATTTTATTAAATTATACTTACTTTTCTCATATATGTTGAAGAATTCTCTGAATATTTCACTTGGTATTGAAGTTGAAATGGTACCAAGGTTGGGCTGGACCAAGAAATCTTTAAATTGCCAGCATCTGTGATTTCCATATGCAAACCTAATGGGGGATCAGGCTTCACTTAAGGAAAAAAGAGAACATTTTTAAGTCAAGCAATTTTCATGATAATCACAAAATAAAGTCAAAATGAATTATTAGCATATCCTGTTCTTTCAACTACTTAAAAGGTGATCTTATTCAAAGGCTAATTCCAGACTAAAATATTAGGTCTACTCCTTGTACCTTTCCATAGCAATCCACATATATTCATTTCCTCTCCCTACATGGCAAAAACTGTAAACAGTAAGGAGGTTGTTTTGATAAATGTGAATTCCTGCTGTAAAAAAAGTCGGCTAACTTTATTTAACCTAGCATTCCCCAAACTTCTTTGAAGACTCCCCCCCACCACCCTCACCCACCGGTTTAGCAGGTGACAAGGAAAAACGGCATTTTGCAGAACACTACTTGAAAAATGCATATGGAGTTTGCATGCAAATATTCACGTAAATATGCACGCAAAACTCAGCAAATCTATTAACTTTGAAAAATAAAAATCTAGACACACCTACTCAAATAACCCACAGCATACATATATTATATGCAATAAACATAGCATTCACAGGCCCTGGCTTGTTTCCGTAGTGTAGTGGTTATCACATTCGCCTGACACAGGCCCTGGCTTGTCACCAGAAATGGGGATAGAGTTTCTTAGCCTAACAATGTGTTTAACTTAGTAAATGATTTGAGTTCATGTGTATATGCATGTGTTCATGTATGAATATGCATTTGTGTATAGGTTGTGTGTGTGTGTAGTTTTAAATACACGTAACTTTTAAATTATTCATAGAAACAATATAAACATCTTACAATAAAGGATTGACTAAATAAATAATGGTTCATTCCCTATAAGGGAAATCATATCGGAGAAGAATATTGAAAATGTTTACTATTGTTAGTTTCAAAAGTTTATTAAACATCATCTATACTTGAGTTCCTGAATTGTTGAAATTAACAAATAAAAGAATATTTATAAATATATGTTAAAATAGAAAAAAATGCCAAAATGATAGAAAATAGACGATGCATTTTTCTTCTTGGTACATCTCTGTGTTTTCAGGATTTTAACTAGCAAGAGTTACATACATAGAAATAATCATTACATTGAAATGTTTCCTGATTTGAATTTTATTTTCAAGAACTAAAATGGCATATTACTATAATTAACATACTAAATTTTCAAGAATTTAGACATAGTTTTTCTCTTTTCCTTGAATCAAAATTAATAAAGCTTTTATTTTATGTGACATATTACAAATTTTAGCTACTTTAAAGCAGAGACAGATAAACACTAAAGTCTAGAAACAAGAGATGAAATTCACTGAGTTCTCATGAATAAAAAGAAAACAAAACAAAAACATCAAACAGAAATCATGAGAGTATAAACTATTGTACATTTCCTGCCTGCATACATATGTGCCCTAATATTAGAAATCTTAAAAATAAATCTTTCCCTGGACCGCCCATGTCCCCAGTCTTAGATACACCGCCAACTACCTGCTTCTTTCAGAGCAATATTCCTTGGAAGAGTTAGCACTACTCACTCTTCCCACTTTGTGTCCCATTTTCCTGACCGACCTACTCTGATCAGGTAGGTCTTCCTCCTCACCAATCCACGGAAACGGCTCTATCAAGGTCATCATCCTTTGCCAAATCCAATGTCAGATGTCTGATGCATTTTCCTCCAGCGCTCAGCAGCATTCCACATAGCTGCTCACTTGGTTCCACTAGGCTGCCAGGCCACCACGCTCTTTTACTCCTCTTTTCTCTCTGATTGCCTCAGTCTTTCTCTCAATGAATTCTAAGTGGGTGATCTCGGGCAATCCCATAAACATCTATATGCCAGATACTCCCATATATATCTCCCCTGAACTGATCATATGTCCAACTGCCTGCTCAGCATCTCTTGGGTATCTATAAGCATCTCAAAAATAATATGTCACACACCCGATTCTCCCCAAATATCCTTATCTTAGTATCTAGCACCACTATTCACTGACACGCTCAGGGCCAAGTCTCAGTGTTATCTTTAGTTCGTCTCTGTCCATACTCCATACCCAATCCACTAGAAACTTCAGTTAGCATCATCACCCAAATGAATCCCAACTATGATCATTTCTTTACTTCTCCACTGCTACATCCCTAAACCAACCAGATAATTCTGATAGCCTCCTCTCTGAGCCTTCTGATTCTACTCTTGTAACCATCCTTCCTCTTTTCTCCATCAATTTCCTTCTCTACATGCAGAGTAAATTTTAAACATGCACACAGACACACACACACACACACACACACACGAACACACACACTTGACCATATCACTCTCCTGGTTCAAAAGCTTCCACTGTAATTAGAATAAAACCCAAACTCTGTAACCCTGGCCTACCATATGACCTGAATCCGATACCTCTGACCACACCTCCAAATATTCCCCTACCTCATTCACTGCAAGTACAAAGGCCTTCTCTTGGGTTCCTCCAACTTCCAAGCTCATTCCATCTCAGAGGTTTTACGGGTGCTATTTTCCCTGGTTGGAGCACCTTTTGTTCTGGATTTTTGCATGGCTATCTCTTTTTCATTCAGCCCAAATGCTATCTCCTAAAACAGGTCTTCTTTGACCTCTGTAGCTGAAATAATAGTCCTTACACCTACCTGGCCCTCTCCATGTCTTATTTCTTTTGTGGCACTTAACATTTTAGGACATTATCATATATACCCAAGTATAAGGAAAGATTTTTTTTTTTCTCAAAAAATTATCCCTGAAAAAAAGACAAAATTCTTTTTAGGTTTCTTATAAAGTCTATCACAGCACCTTCTCTTAACTATCTTTTTTTTTTTTTAATATTTAATTTAATTCTTGTTCTAAATCCTTCTAAAAATCACCTGACAGAATTAGTTTTAAAAAGAGAACATAATGATATTTTATAAATTTTATATATATTTTTCCTGTGCTATAACTTCATGACAGAATTGCTTGGACATCATTGTAATTATGTTGCAGAGACCACAAATATATCCCTAGAGGACAAATTATCTGAGCATCCTAATGTTAAAATACGATGTCATATGCAGATTCAAATAGTGGCATATCCCCAGTAACTTAGAAAGAAGTGAAGGTCAAGTTGTGTGGAAAACTGTTATGAGATCCCTGGAAAACTGGCTCTAGTAATGTCAAAAACAACGATGCCAAGATGCATGTAAAGAGTTGGTATATAATGGTTTCAAGAAATATAAGTGGAAAATAGTAACGCTGTTTAATTTTATATTATATATAAAATACACACACAAAACGGAGTTAATAAATACTTTAAGTGAACATTGCCTATATTATTCACATTTGTAATCCTATGTTCAAGTTGATCAAAAGAAACTGGGAATCTTTGCATTAAAAATATGGGACTCTACCTATTACTTGAGTTTTTATTATAATCAGATTTGTATAGCAAATTATGTAGGTGTTTACTTTTTTATTGTTTCTCTCTGCTCACTATTGGTTGTCTCTGGCTTATGAGGCAGGAACTTTGTCTCATTCACCAATGTTTCCCCAGCTCCAAGGTCAGTGGCTGACACACGTGAGCTTCTAAAAAATATTTATTGAAGGAATAAGTAAAGGTATAAAATAAATAAATAAAGGTAAAAAACAAGCTCCTAATTATTTTTGGAAACTGTTACCTGAGAAGCGAAAAAGTAACAACCGAACGATACATATCCATTAGATACAGGGTTGAAAGAAAAACTATTTTTAAGAAAGAATTTAAGGGGCGCCTAGGTGACTCAGTCAGTTAAGTGTCTGACTCTTGGTTTTGGCTCAGGTCATGATCTCATGGTTCATGGGATCAAGCCCCTCATCAGGCTCCGCGCTTGGTGGGGAGTCTGCTTGAAGAGTCTCTCTCTGCCCCTCCCCCTACTCATGCCTGCTCTCTCTCTGTCTCTAAAATAAATGGGTAAATCTTTAAAAAAGAAAGAAAGAATTCAAGTTACAACTGCAGAGACCATCTATACTACTCTTAAAACATTCTAGAAGCTGCTTCTAATACTCCCTAATTCTACATTTGCTGTCCTGACCACACTGGTCAAAGCAAGAGAAGCTACTGAAAATTTTTGTAAGCAATGTTTAACCTGTTTGTGTGGCTGATGTTTAGATATAATACCTTTTTTATGCACGACTTACCAACATTTATGGGCTGAACCGACATTAGAGGTGATTGAAAATTTATCCCACCAGACGTGATTTTCAAATACAGAAGGAGAGTGTGGTTGAGTTTGGCGGTTGGCACAGGCACATGGCATTCACAGCTGTTGTGAACACTGCAGTTGCACTGAACAATCTGAAAACTGCCTTTCTGGGGGACCAGAGGTGACTCGTCTAACACTTCAGGCCTATGTGCAAAAGAGTGAGCTAAATATTAGCAGATGTGACAAAAATACGTGACAAAAATCCAAACTGAGGTGAACTGTTCTGGACATCCAGCTTAAATGGCATCTAGAAAAAACTGGATACATTATATCAGAGACGCAAAGATAAGGGTTCCAGCAGGTTAGCCATTAGAAATAATAACAGCAAGAAGAGAGTGAAGCAATAGTCAAGTACCGAAAGGAAAGTAGCATTGTGGTCCTAAAACTCTACACCCAGAGAAAATACCTTTCAAAATAAACATGAAATAAAGGCTTTTCTCAGGCATACCAAAACTGAAAGAATTTGCCACCGTCAGATCTGCATTATGAAAAGTGCCAAAGGAAGTCCATCAGACAAAAAGGAAATGACAGCAGATGGAAATCTGATTCCACACAGAGAAATGAAAATAACTGGGACGCCTGGGTGGCTCAGTCAGTTAAGCATCTGCCTTCGGCTCAGGTCATGATCTCAGGGTCCTGGGATGGAGCCCCGCATCCGGCTCCCTGCTCGGCGGGGAGTCTGCTTCTCCCTCTCTTTCCCACTTGTGCTCTCTCTCGCTACCTCTTTCTCTCTCTCTCTCAAATAAATAAATAAAATCTTCAAAAAAAAAAAAGAAATGAAAATAATTTTAAAAAGGTAAATATCTACTGACTGCTTAAAGCAAAAAAAAAAATACCATGGAGTGTAGGGTTTATAACACAGGTAGAAGTATAATGTGTGATGCTGGCTCTAAGCTTGGGGGAGAGAGACGTAACATAAGTGTGCGGTTTTAATGTTCTCGTACTATACATGAAGTGCGATAATATTACTTAGAGGTACATCTGTTGGATTGTAGTTAAGTTAAAAACCTACATTATAAATCCTAAAACAACCACTAAAATTATAAAACAAGGAGTTATAGCTAATGAACCACAATAATCAAGCCAACAGAGTATTAGTATAAGGACAGAAAAATAGATTAATGGAACAGAATAGAGACCAACACCTATATGGACAGCCAGCTTCTTTCTACAGAGGTGCAAAAGCAGTCCTGTGGAGAAAGGGTAATCTTTTCATTAAGTCGTGCAGAACAATGGGATATCTATATGCAAAACAAAGCAAAACAAATTTCAATCCATGCTCACACCAGATTCAAAAATTAATTCAAAATGGATCACCAGTTCAAATGTAAAACCTAGGGGTGCCTGGGTGGTTCAGTCGTTAAGCGTCTGTCTTCAGCTCAGGTCATGATCCCAGGGTCCTGGGATCGAGCCCCGCATCGGGCTCCCTGCTCAGCGGGAGGCCTGCTTCCCTCTCTCCCACTCCCCCTGCTGTGTACCCTCTCTCACTGTCTCTCTCTCTGTCAAATAAATAAGTAAAATCTTAAAAAAAAAACAAAAACAAAAACAAATGTAAAGCCTAAAGCCATAAAACTTCTAGAAGAGAACATGGGGACAAAAATTTGTTACCTTCAATAAGGTAACATTTCCGTAGATGCAACACCAAAAGCATGATCCATAAAAGAACAAATTGATAAACTGGATTCTTACCAAGATTGAAAACTCTGTTTTTTGAAAGTAAGACACTATGGAACAACAAGAAGACAAGCCATAGACTGAGAGAATGTATTTCCCAATTATCTATCTGATAAAGGACTTGTCTCCAGAAGATATAAAGAACTCTCAAAACTCAATAATAAAACAAACAATACAATTAAAAAACAGGCAAAATTTCACCATGCACTTAGAGAAGATAAATGAATGAAAATAAGCATGTCAAAAGAAGCCCAAGGTCATTTGTTATTCAGGAAATGCAAATTAAAACCACAATGATGCCACTATCCACATGTTAGAATGGCTAAAATTTTAAAAATTAATTTTATAAGGATGTGAAGAAATTGGAACTCTGATCCACAGCTGGTGGGAATGTAAAATGATACAACTTTGGAAAATAGTTTAGTAATATTTAAGTTGTTAAAATTACACCTATCATACAATTTACACATTCTATCCCAGGTGGTCATCCAAGAGAAATGAAAGTATAGGTCCTCTCAGAGACTCATATACAAACAAACACAGAGACTTGTAGCAGCTTTATTTGTAATAGCCCAAAACTGTAAATAACTCAAATGTCCATTAACAGGTGAACGGATAAACAAATTGTGGTATATCCATATAATGGAATGCTACTTCACAATGGAAAGGAATGAACTACTAGTGGATGCATACAACATTAATGACTCTCAAAATAATCATGGTGCATGAAAGTGTGACAAAAGTACTGTATGATTGCATTTATTTTTTTATTTTTATTTTTTTATTTTTTAAAGATTTTATTTATTTATTCATGAGAGACAGAGAGAGAGAGAGAAGCAGAGGGAGAAGCAGGCTCCCAAGGAGCAGGGAGCCCAATGCGGAACTCGATCCCCAGGACCTGAGCCGAAGGCAGACGCTTAACCGTCTGAGCCACCCAGGCGCCCTGTATGATTGCATTTATATAAAATCCTAGAAAATACAAAGTAACCTGCGGTAACAGAAAGCAGGTCATTCATTGCCTGGGGACAGTGGAGAGTGATGAGGGTGATAGGGACCACAGGTAGGGGCAATGGGTGGGGTTACAAAGGGGCGGGAAGCAATTTTGTGATTGGCAATATATTCATTTTCTTTATTAGGGTGATGATTTTATGAGTGATTTCATATAGAAAAACTTATCAATTTATACTTCAAATATATAATAAGCTGTGTAAACATGTACAGTTTATTGTCTATTAATTTTATGTCCATAAAGCTGTTTACCCAAAAAAGAAAATTTAGGAAAAATTTTTTAAGCAATACTTTGCCTAACACTGTAAACCTACAAATGAATGAGCTAACCTTAAAAAGTAATTGCAGGGGCACCTGGGTGGCTCAGTCGGTTAAGTGTCTGCCTTCGACTCAGGTCATGATCTCAGGGTCCTGGGATCAAGCCTGCATCCGACTCCCAGCTCAGCGGGGAGCCTGCTTCTCCCTCTCTGCTCAACAGCCCCCGCCCCCCGCCCCACCCTGCTTGTGCTCTCTCTCGCTCTCTCTCAAATAAATAAAATCTTAAAAAAAAAAAGTAATTGTAGTTTTTCCTTGACTTATGATGGGTTACCTCCTGATAAACTCATCGCAAATTAGAGATATCCTAAGTTGAAATGCATTTAGTACACCTAACCTACCGAATGTCATAGCTTAGCTTAGCCTCCCTTAAACATGCTTAGAACATTCACACTAGCCTACAGGTGGGCAAAATCATCTAATACAAAGCCTATTTTTTAATAAAATTTTGAACATCTCATGTAATTTACTGAATATCATACCAAGAGTTAAAAAAAAAAAAGAGAGAGAGGATGGTGGAAGTGTATCAGTTGTTTACCCTCATGGTCACGGGGCTGACTAGGACTTGCCAATGCCCAGCATCACGAGGGAGTATCCTACCACATATCACTAGTCTGGGAAACAATACTGAATGAGTATTGCTTTCACACCATTAAATCATAAGTCAAACCATTGTTAAGTGGGTGACTGCCTATAACTAGCTGGGTTGAATTACCTAACTCAAAGCACAAAGAATAATAGCATGCAACCAAGACACAGAGTTGTTATTTCTGATTTATCAGTGTCGTTTTTTTTTAATCTGCATGGTTGCCTGGAGAGTCTAAGCCTAGCTGCAAATAAGAAGACTTGTTTGGGGTGGGGGGAGTCAAGGGGGAGGGGAGAGGGATAAGAATTTGGGGATGGAAAGGGAGTATTAGTATTTAGACATGATCACTGCCTTCAGAATTCTTGCAGTTAGCAGAGCAGCTAAAGCAGTGCTTTTTTATACACACTAATTTTTAGTTAGTATATTTAGCACTTACAGTCTTTTCCCTCCAAAAGGACTGCAAGAATTCTGAAGGCAGTGATCATGTCTAAATACTAATACTCCCTTTCCATCCCCAAATTCTTTAAAAAAGATAGAGTGGTTTAGATAGAAGGCAGCAGGTGTTTATGGACAGAATGGGGTGGCTCAAGCAAGACAGGGAAATATTAGTTATCCCTGAGAATTCACATATAAATACAACGTGAATGAAATCGACCTGAATCTTTCATACATACACCACTAGTATTAAATGTGAATTCTGATAGATTTTCAAGTTTCCTGAGATAGACTTCAGTATTACTTTAGTCCTAAAATAAATCAATCAAGAAACAACATTTACAGTCCTTTCAACGTGCAAAGCAGTCTACTGGGCGCTGTGTCGGGGATAATATTATTGTTAGAAGCACACTAAATTAACACCAAGACTTAATATCAAGTCCTTCCATTTGCTTTTGAGCCATAAGACCATAGACAGGTAAGTTTTTCTTTATTAGCCTTGGTTTCCACAATCAGTAAAACAGAGAAAAATGCCTGCACCATCTCCCTTTACGATGCTGTTGTAAATATCAAAGACAATTACATAAAAGTATTTTTGAAAACTTTAAAGTGCTATACCCCCATAAAATAACATTTTGAATTAGAGTTGGAATGACTTAGCACTTTCAATTTTATCTAAATCTCACAAAGCCAATGAAATGTCATTTTTTGAAAACATCACACTATGCCTTCTAGGTATTTTTTGAGTATTAAAATAAAAGCTTTTATGAAAAGGGTATGGAACAAATTGAGTAAATTGTGGTATTTTATGTCAGAAATATGCCTGTACAGAATTATGCTTTGATTGAAGAACTCCCAAATTTTACAGCAAAAATAGAACTAAACAGAAAATAAGGCATACATTCTTCACTAACGCTTTCTAAAGGACAGAAAATTCTAGTGATATTTTTCTTTTTTTTTAAAAAAAGTTAGAATTACACCGTCTTACTGTAGATGGTCGTATCAATGCCATTTTTTCTAAATAGAGTGGATATTTGTAGAATCGGGCTGATTACCAATTAGATTAACTATCTGGTTTCTCTATCACTTTACTGTTGTGTGTTCTATTTAATCAATCTCATTGTTA